ATAAAAATATGTGGTTTGGTCTGTTTAAAACACAGCCATATATATATATATATATATATATATATATATATATATATATATATAAGAGATCATATTCATAAAAAGGATACAAAAGTATCGCAACGATTAAAATTTAGGTACGTTTCGGTGGACATTATTTCAGAAAAAGTATCGTTGTGAATATATATATATATATATATATATATATATATATATATATATATATATATGCTTCTGATGCAATGCTCTTCTACTCGAATCGAACTCTCCTTGCTACTGATGTCTTTCGCATAGTATAAACGTTAAAATTTCCCTTTCTCTCTGCCGTGCGACGATACCTTGCGGGTAGAATCTCTGACTGATGCCAAATCGGTCGGATTTTGAAGCAATCAGTTGTCTAGCCACACTGATGAGCTGTGATAAAGCGATACAGTCTGTCTGTGGATGACATACATATATATATATATATATATATATATATATATATATATATATATATATAAAACCTCGCTGTTTACTAACGATCGTAGAATGACGACCTGAGGAGTTGCAATAAAATGTAACAGAAATAGGGCGAAGGAAATACTCGTGAAAAATTTGTAACAATATTTATGTGACGTGATAAAAAGAATTATTAGTCAATTTCATCTTTCCTGATGATTTTATTTTCATACTATTTATAATGTATGTATTTAGAATGTATTTAAAATTATATAATGTATTTAGAATGTATATAATGTATATTTAGAATGTAGTTATTTATAATGGTCACCCAGTACACTGACTCCTCTTACTCTATGGCTCTGAAACTTGAACTCTCTCAGCAAAACAACAGCGCCGTTTAGATGGATGTTATACACGTCTTTTAAGAAGAGTGCTTAATCTCTCATGGCGAAACCGCCCAACTCTAGAAATGATATATGGAGACTTGCCGAGAGTATCAACCTTAGTTTGCAAAAGACGTGTCCAGTTCGCCGGGCATTGTGCACGTGCCACAGATGAACTTGTGTCATCATTTGTACTCTGGAGGCACCCATCATCTGACAATCGATCACGCAAGTTAACCTTTCCAGATAGGATAAAACGAGACACATTGATCCCTAAGGAAGATCTTTTAGGTGCTATGACGGATAGGGAATACTGGAGAGGTGTTGTGAGTTCAATCTCGGCTGAAGCCGCAGGATGATGATGAATGTAAGAGGAAATTTCTACTCAGACAGCTTAAAACCCACCCACCCCCAAAATTAATTTTGTGCAAGACTCCTGCGTGTATGCTTCATCGTTATCCATTTCCTACCACCTCCCTCTTCAAGTCACAGACGTCATTCCTCGTTACCATTTTAAAAGTAACCTTCGTACTTTCTATTGGGTGAATTTTAGTATTAAACATCTCACATTATTCTGATGATGGTGTTATTAAAACTTGAAATATTAACAAAATTAACGCTCAAATCAAATATTCATTTTTTTAAAAGAATGTTTTATCGAGATATCCATAAAATTTTGTTAAACTCGTTTGTAAACATTTATGCCGATGATATGACAATATATGGGTGCAACTCTAAAACTCTTGGTGATCAGAGATTAGCAGTTGACATCTCTTTCGATCTATCACTCACATCCCAGTGGGGAAAAATGTCTGGTTACACTCAATGCTTCGAAAACCAAACTAGTTGCAATCCCTCACCGCCGATCACGATGAACGAATGTCCTCTTAGAAAGGCGCAGTTTTTCAGGGCGGTTATTGGGCCTCAAACCTGACCCTAAGATGCGGTAAAAATCACTGGCTGTCTGTAACGCTCTAGTAAGTTGCTGACTCCTCGTGCTATCCTCTAGCTTTATAAGAGTCAGATCAGGCCTAAAATGGAGTTCTGTTGCTATATTTGGAGCTGCCCAATTCTCACTTTCCTGTCTTGATAGAGTTCAAAAGTTCCACCCCTCAATCTCTCTCTCTTACAAGCAGAGTGTGGCGAGTCTCTCACTGCTCTATTGCTACTTCCATAGAAACTGCTCGGATAAACTACACCCTTTGGTTCCTCCAGGTCTAATATTCAGAGTTCGGAACCGCCGTGCCACTTGCATTGTAGCAAACCACCCACATTGCCTCCGTATTCCACCGGTGAGAAGTAACTTCCACTCTGCTCTGTGGAACAGATTCCCAAGAGGATGTTTCCCCGATCACCATAATCTTAACGGCTAACTCTAAACTTGAACAGGTTATCTTCCCCTTTTATCTATATAAACTAGCCCTTAACGTAACTCTCTATCTCGAATGATCTCCAAACTTTATACAGGGTGATCCTTACTGTAAAAAAAAAAAAAAAAAAAAAGATGCTTGCCTCTCTGATCGCGATCTTCTGCTTATCATAAATGGCGCCGCGTTTTGCTACTGTGGTTAACAAGTTTGGTTATCAAATAATTACTAAAGTAATTAATCTTTCATGTGATATCTTAGGACGAGATACTTTTCACAATCTGAAAGTGTTCTGTTTTTGGATTGATAATATACACCAAAATAGAAATGGGCGTAAAACAAGGACATGTCATTTCACCAGACTTATTCAATCTATACAGTAATGCAATCCAAACAGAATTAGAAGTCCGACCAAGAATCAGTATTAGTGGCCACAATCTTAACCTTAGATATGCAGATGACACAGTGTTGATAGCAGACACAGAAAGGAAAGCGAGTAGAAAAGACTGAACATCGACTGTAAGAAGACAGAATGTATGTGTAACCAGAGAGAAAATGGTTTACATCCTGGTAGAAAACAGGTTCGAATGTGTCTTGCGTGTAAAGTATCCCAAAAAGAAAATGGCAGCTTTACGAGTCGTATATTTAAGAAACTTGAAGTCGGATTCGTCTCGCGAGACTTTTTTTTTTTTTTTTTTTGCAGTAATCTGGTTAATAGTAATTTGAGCTTCACTAACCGGAAGTTCTCTATAGCTGAATGATTAACAGAACGTCAGGCCAAATGACGATTTCTGTATGGGATAGAGGTTCGATTCTTGTCGGAGAACGCATATTTTCTATGAAACTTCTCGAATATTCAGGCCGGTAGATCTAATTAATACTGTTTTAATTCAAAACAGAGCATTTACTCAAATAAGTTCTATCCATAAAAATAACGTATAAACAGAATATATATATATATAATATATATATATATATATATATATATATATATATATATATATATATATATATATATATATATATATATGTATATAATATTATATAATGATATAATGATAAGATAAAGAACAAATTTCTTGAACCTTTGAAGCTGAAACCTGTTTGAATGATAAACGTTTCATATCATTCTGTCGGATTTCAAGCCATATTTGATCCCAATTCATATATATATATATATATATATATATATATATATATATATATATATATATATATATATATAATCTCTGTGTGTGTCTTTGATCTTTTCAGTACCCCTCTTATTAAAATTATTTTATTATCCCATGTCTGATATTCACAACTAAATCTGTTATAATTTACCCAATTAAAAGTGACAACTATTATCGCTAAGACTACTCTCAGCTTTAACCATAAATATGAGAAATATGCAGTTGCTCTCATTCTATCTGTAGTGTAATCTCGCTTGCTTTCCATCCCAAGGGATGATGATGGTTCCTTTCAAGGCGGAACAGTGTCTGGTGGTGATTTTTAGGTGAGTAAGCGGTTACACAGGTCCAGACCCACCCACTCGGCGTCTTCTCCTGGCTCCAGCGGGAAGTTGGCGTCTAGGGCGGCTGGTGGGATATCACTTGAAGTGGATGCCTTTCTCTCGCTTCATTGCACGGGGTTTGAATTCGAAACTATACTAGTTGCCCCACTAAGGCTGGAGAGCCCAACCTGCCAGTTTCTTCAGGACCTAGACGATCATGGTTCTCCACAGATCCATTTTATTTTCTGGGAATTGTTGGGAAAGATAAAGATCGTTAATGAAGACAACTACTTGGGCCAAAATTTAATTCGATTTATTGATTCCATTTTCTCATCCCACTCTATGTCTGGGTTAAATAACAGGAAAGATATGGATACCAGTCAAGGAGGGGGAGGTGATTCTGGACTGTGGAGAAGGAGGAATAGGAGGAGAAGGACAACTCTGTGATCTGTGTAGGAGGAGGAGGTAGAGGACAGTTCTGGATTCTGACATGTGGAGAAGGAGAAAGAGTGCAACTATGAATTACGAACTGTGAAGAAGGGGAGGATGGCAACTTTGAATTCTGAACTGCGGAGGAGTAGGAGGCGGAGAGTTCTGAATTTCGAATTGTAGAGGAGGGAGAAAACTATGAATTTCGAACTAGGGAGAAGGAGGAGGGGGCCAACTCTGAATGCAAAACTGTGGAGAAGGAAATCAGTTCACCATCTTTTCCATGTCAAATCAATGCAATGCCCTGTTGACAAATATTAAAGAAATGGGGCGCCATAATCTACAACGCTCTGAAGGAGCAGTGATTTAAAAACAAAAGGCGGTTAGTATTTATGTAATTTGCTTATGAAGGATGAGCCAAAAATATTACCATATTTTGTTAATATCTGATCTGGTTCTAACATAAAAATTAAACTATTTCGTATTATGAAAGAGTTTTAAAAAGAAATACATTTCATAATTACGTACTTGCTCCAGTAAAGGGAAATGATCAAAAAATGGATTTTAAACAACAGTTATTTATTTTTTTAATAATCTTTATTTTATTAAAACAACGGTGAATTCTATTGACCAAACATTTTGCAGTAAAAGTTTCTACAGACATTGATTTTACTTCCGATGTTTAACCAAAACAAAGCGTATGACAGTTATACGTAAATGATGCTTGGAGTGGTTGAAAATGTATAGGAAATTCTTATAATGTTCTGAGCTCATGAAATGGCAAGGGAAGTTGTGAGCTGACATTTTTAATCGAAGAGAATTAACTCATATTTACAATAAATATGTTAATGGATGTTGATTTGTTCGATATTATGGAAGTATTTAATGAACTTTCGGGCAATAATCCGATCTGCTATCAGAAAAGAACACCTCTCTCTTTTATCCCTCCTCTCTCTCTCTCTCTCTTTTATCCCCCTCTTTCGCTCTCTCTCTCATTTGTCCCTCTTCTCTCGCTCTTTCTATATTTTATCCCTCCTCTCTCTCTCTCTCTCTCTCTCTTTTATCCCTCCTCTCTCGCTCTCTCTCTCTCTCTTTTATCCCTCCTCTCTCTTTTTTTATCCCTCCTCTCTCTCTCTTTTATCCCTCTCTCTCTCTCTCTTTTATCCCTCCTCTCTCGCTCTTTCTATCTTTTTTATCCCTCCTCTCGCTCTTTCTATCTTTTTTTCCCTCCTCTCTCGCTCTTTCTATCTTTTATCCCTCCTCTCTCTCTCTCTTTCTATCTTTTCCCTCCTCTCGCTCTTTCTATCTTTTATCCCTCCTCTCTCGCTCTTTCTATCTTTTATCCCTCCTCTCTCGCTCTTTCTATCTTTTATCCCTCCTCTCTCGCTCTTTCTATCTTTTATCCCTCCTCTCTCGCTCTTTCTATCTTTTATCCCTCCTCTCTCGCTCACTCTTTTATCTCTCTTCTTTCTCTTATTTCCTTATCTCCCTCCTTTCTTTCATCCTCTCTCTCTCTCTCTTTCCATTCGTTACTACTATCTCTGTTTCTTTCCTCTTCTCTATCCCTTCTCCCTCCACTCATCTCCTTTTTTCTCTTCTCCTTACTTTCCCTTCTTTGCTCTTCGCCCTTCTTTCCCCCTTCTCACTCTTCTTTCTTTCCCTCCTCTCCAGTCTCTTTTCTCTCTTCTCTTTTTTCTTCCTTCTCTCTCATAATTCCCCCTTTCTCACTGTCTCCCCACCACTTTCTCACTCATATATAATGTGCGTATTTTACAAGCAGTTTTGGTCTCTCAGCTTTAGCGCAATTGATAAAAACATGAATTTATTTATAAATCCAATACACTAAGCACTATACAATGAAACTTTTCGCTATTTGCTTTAATTCAACGCCACTGACGAAGAGACGATTCTCCTTTTAAAAGAAAAATGTAAAAGATGTTAATTAATTGTTCGATGCAATTTCTTTCACAATGCCTGCCGATTTGATTCAGTGTAGGAACAATACGTCTCATGCCTTTGTCCATGACTCTTAGACAGCAATAGTTTTTAACAGTATAACCATATTTGGACTTCTTTAATCATTTTCCTCTTCCCGAATCGTAACCCTTTGCTTCAATTCGCACCGACACACACACACACATTTATATTCATTGTTATAAAGTAATGAGTCACTCCTTACTTGGCACTCAATATGTGTAGCCTTGTGACATACTAAACTTAGTAACAGTGAGAATCGTTCAATCTGTGTTCCTACTCTAGCGTGACAGTCTTAGCTGTACTTCTCAACAGAGTTCATCTTTACTGGGTACCTCAAAAACAGACACTTCGCCAGTTTTTTGAGATGGCACTGGCCTTTAAGTCAGGTGATGGCTGTGTAAGTATTTGAAAAATATCTCATTCTCTGAAACACTTTTTATGAAGGATTTAATCAACGTCCTCCTCACACACGCTTTCTTGAAAGAGAGGACCGGGAAATGTCGGCTCTCCGCGTACCGTACTCACCGATTTCCATCACCAACACGAGGGTTTCTTCACATTACTACAAGTGTGGCAAACATGATTCGATTCTAGTTTGGATGAAACAAATGAGAATAGGATTTTCAGTATGAGTGAGATTATAAACAGAGAGAGAAGAACGAGAACATTCCTTTTTTTTTTCTATGGAGAGTTAAAAAAAGAGATCATTAATTAGATAGAAAGACAGTAAAATATGGGTTAAATAATAAAGCCGGGCTTCCGTAAAATGATTTTTTGTATATAATCGTGTTGCTAGTTGCCGCATATAGGTTAAAAAGAGGAAAAAAAACAAGACTAAGATTTGTTTGTCCTTTTATAGTACTTAACCAGCGTTACCTAACGGCTTCTTGGCAGACCAAGTCTCACTATAATAAAGCTATTAAAACCGTAACTCTTGATATGTAGATTTCTATAGATATCAGACAGATGTTTCCTTTTATTTAGATTTACAGATAAACAGAGGTAATCTCCTGATTGATTTTCCGCCTACCTGCTGTAAATTTCGGAGACGCTACGGGTCGCATCTTTTGTTATACTATCATGAAAAGTGCGCTCGCCAACGAAAGAAATGGTTGGATAATAATATCAAGTGCTGAACGCAGATAACTTTACCTGACTTACTTGCGACAGCAACTAACAGAGAAGTATGAAAAAAGATGACTACTTTTGCGTCCCCACCGACAAAGTCGTCATCATTTTCTGAAACACATTTTCTCAACCTCCTCCTCACATACGCTTTCTTGAAAGGGAAGACCGGGAAATGTCGGCTCTCCGCGTACCGTACACACTGATTTCCATCACCAACACGAGGGTTTCTTCACATTACTACAAGTGTGGCAAACATGAATTTGATTCGATTCTAGTTTGGGTGAAGCAAATGAAAATAGGATTTTCAGTATGAGTGAGATTGTAAACAGAGAGAGAAGAGCGAGAACATTCCTTTTTTTTCTATGGAGAGTTAAAAAAAGAGATCATTAATTTGATAGAAAGACAGTAAAATTAACTTATAACTGACAACCATTAAACATGGCACGTGGAACTAGAACAGTCTACCCCACTGAGCGAAATAAAGAGTTCAGTTCGACATTCCAACCACCTGAAGAAGGTCGGAGCGTACAACGGCCGAAACGTTGCAATATAGTCCGAATAATATAAATAATGAAGCTAGCCATACTGGACTACTTTACGTCCATCAAGTTGAAGCGAAAAGAAGCTGTGCGAAAATTAAATAAAACCAATAAATAAGATAATAAAAAAATAAATAAATTTATTTTCCCATGATGCATTTTATAAAGAAACCAGTATCTGGTAATATATGCGATTTTATGACTCCGCTTCCGGAAAGGACACAATGTCTCTCTTTATATTTTCCGTGGAGTTTGGACGTGTTTTCAGTACCTTTACTTTTGAAGTAGAAATTCGGTCATCCCAATTCAGCGCTGGGTTGACTTGAGCTCGACCATCTTTACCCGTTCTTATCCTGATTTCCCATAAATAATTTCTGAATCAAAAATGAAAACGGACATACTCAAGAGATATTTAACTTTGATCCAATATGGTCAACATAAAAGAAATAAAAATCCGTAGAAGAAACCCAAGTTTTTTTTGTATGCTTCTTCTATCTTTGTTTATATATTGAACCCGAACCTTCCCCTAAAAATATACGCAAAATCCACAAGCTTGTTAACATCCACAAAGCCCAGCATATGTAATTACGGAATAATTTCACTCTATCTTCCAAGAACAGCGGAAACATTACAGACGCTGCATATGTAATTCCAGACAGATTCCTCGAGAACTGAAAATGTTTACTAAACCGCTGTTGTCTATTTAAATGAAAAAATAACGAAATTGTGGAGTTTCTGCTGTTCTTACTCCATGAATTATCATGTCTCTTAAAAACCGATGGGTCGTTATTCGTAACGTCCGGGTCTGGTAGCTATAGGCATTCAGGTGATTTTGTGTCGGACTAGGAGAAAACAAAACCGGAGAGATTGGGGTAAGAAAATCCAATTACTCCCCCTGTCTTATGATTTTTATAATACATCGTCTTAGCCAAAACGACAAGACTCTTCAGTTACGTTCATTAAAGGCACATTAAACAGAACTAAACTCCGAGTTTTCATTACACCCATAATGCAAGTTATAAAGAAACCAGAAAGTCTTTCTGAACACGTGAGATTTTATGACCCCACTTCCAGAAAGGACAATATTTCTCTTTCCACTTTCTAATGAGATCGTTAAGATGTTTCAGCACCCCTACTCTTGAAGTAGAAATTCTGCCATCCCAATTCAACGCGAGGTTAACTTGAGCTCGACCATCTTTACCCGTTCTTATCCTGATTTCCCATAAATAATTTCTGAATCAAAAATGAAAACGGACATTCTCAAGAGATATTTAACTTTGTTTTAATAAGGTCAACATAAAATGCTTCTTCTATCTTTGTTTATATATTGCTATGCTCTTTAGGCACCTCTCTGTAATGGTTAGCATGCCTGTCTTTCTAGATCAATTAACACTGACTAGCGAGTTAAATCCTCACTGAGTGACCCATACTTTCGGCCTTGAGCCGCATCTAATCTACGCTTAGAAAAGTCGCCATTACACCACGGGGGTGGGATATAGCGGTTCATTAAGCGTAGCTTACATGTAGAATATGGCCGAAAGTGTGATGGTTAGTAATTTTGTCTCGCTAGATCATTTGCGACTGAGTAATGAGTTCGATCCTCACTAGGTGTTTCATAATTACGGCCTTGTGCCAGTTACGTTTAGAATATAGATATATCGCACTCCAAACTCCATCAGAATCTTTTTTTTTTCAATCAACCTTAACTCCTGTATGCTGTTTTCACTCCACCCAGTATATTTTTTCCTTCCCATCCACAAGGCAATGATATTTATCTTTTAAGTCATTTACGAGTTTTATCTATATCCTTTCCCCACATCACTTCTCACGATCTTATCATTGAGTCTGTCTGTCTTTTTACCAAACCACGGGTTATTTTCTAATCAGGACTCAACCCTAGAAATGTCCAACTTTATCTCACCAAATCCAGATGACCTACTCTTGTCTTTTTTTCACTTCTTTTTACTAATATTTCGATAATCTTATCATTTGAACCCTCAGCTCTTAGTGTCAGTGAAAGAACACACACACACACACACACACACACACATATATATATATATATATATATATATATATATATATATTATTTGACTTCTTGTATTTCACAAACGGCGAAGCAGTCTACAAATACAGCAAACCTAATTGCTTGGCATTAACCGTTTATCTCTCGCCGAGGAACGATCACTGGCACCACAAGATAATTAAAAATATCACTTCCACTGAATCTTTTTCCAGTGTCTTTACTTCAAGGAGTTTTAAAGTTTGCTTTATGCATCGCTATGACAACTAATGCTGTAATATTTGATTTGCTTTATAATACATCTCGCAACAACACGCTATTATTATTGCAGCATTTCTCTTATAAAAGCGATCTACCTTTTTGTCTATATCCTGGGATATTTGCGGACATTTTTTCCTCGGCGTGTATGTAAGAGATTAAAAAAAAAGTGAAATCTCTCTCGTAAAAAATAAAAGAAAAAAATCCGGATTCATCTTTACAAAATAAAATAAGACCTTGAGACAAAGTACATGCTGCTGATAATCTTGAAGCAACATTCGTTTTAAACTACCGACATTTTGATTAATGTAAAAACTGAATTGTGCAGACAAAAATGAAACAAAATATGTTTTATGCATAAAAGAACATATTTGAGATTAAAAAAAAAATATTACGAAAATAACTTTTACAATTTTTTTTCCTTCAAATATATCATCCATCATGGCTTCTTGGTTTGTTCAAAATCTCAGGTAAGAATTTACTTGAATGATTTTTCGTTTTTAGTTTAACCATCTGAGTTTCTAAGTAACGGACAGTTGGGAAGAACTCTTTCTTCTTATAAGCAGAGTGCCGCAAAATAAAATGTTGGGTTGTAAAATAAGATGGAAAAATGGAATTAGATGCTAAGATTTAAAATAATCTGATTCTCTTTTTTAGTCCTATCTTTTCATGAAATTAATAATTTCTTTTATATTTATATATATATTATCCTACTGTAAATTCTTTTAAATTTTAAATACACACTTTGTTTTCACTTGTACTTATAGACTTCGTACGCATATAAGGATTAATTTTCTTTTTAGAAAGGTTTTAGAATCTAATGTTTTATAATATATTTTGATAATTAATAACACTGCTGATCAGCTCAGTAGCATTAAGGGCACATTCAGCCTTGTTTTTGCTCTTAATTCTAGCATAAAATGGGTGTAGGAGCTTCAGAATCCAGCCCTTTTATAGCGTGTGGATGTGCAGATTTCAAAAAGATATGAAAATAGAACAGTCGAAGATTCTCCTTCCAGACAAATTCACCTGAACTGTATAATTTTATAGCATTTTATGTTATAAGACACGTTTAATTATAAAGTCTTTTTTATGATGAATTCAAGAACTTTTTTTTTATTTAGTATCTTCTCTTTTATTAAATAAATAGCAAAAAAAAAAAAGAATTAAAAATGAGAAATTAGGCAGATACGTAACTTCAGAATACGTGATGGTATTCCGCATATATTTTCATGTCTATGGTAGGTTAAATGGAATCGTGTAAGGAATTAAAAGTAACGCTATTGCAAACAAAAAAAAAAGTCAGGGCAGTGTTAGTACCCAGGAAGAAAAAAAAAAAACTTTTCTCAGTTATGAAGACGCTTATCCCAAAAAAAGCAGAGCTGAGGGCTTGGGGAAGGGGTAAGATTTTTTTCTTCTTTTACTTCGGCACTGGAAACTAGTTTCTGACCCTGAAGAAATTCACTAGGTTATATGAGAACCTGGCCGTTGATAATTTGTTAAACAAAGAGATTGATGCGAGAGCAGAGAAGACGAGGCGAGACAAAATGGTAGATTTTCTCTCTTCAGTTTCCTCCACTTCTCTCTCTCTAACTTATTCCTTCTTTCTTTCTTTCTTTTTCTCCTTTCATTTCCTTCTCTCTCTCTTTTCCGTCTTTAGTTCGCTCTCTCTCTCCTTTTCCGTCTTTAGTTCGCTCTCTCTCTCCTTTTCCGTCTTTAGTTCGCTCTCTCTCTCCTTTTCCGTCTTTAGTTCGCTCTCTCTCTCCTTTTCCGTCTTTAGTTCGCTCTCTCTCTCTCTTATCCGTCTTTAGCTCGCTCTCTCTCACTCTCTCCTTATCCGTCTTTAGTTCGCTCTCTCTCTCCTTATCCGTCTTTAGTTCGCTCTCTCTCTCCTTATCCGTCTTTAGTTCGCTCTCTCTCTCCTTATCCGTCTTTAGTTCGCTCTCTCTCTCTCCTTATCCGTCTTTAGTTCGCTCTCTCTCTCTCCTTATCCGTCTTTAGTTCGCTCTCTCTCTCCTTATCCGTCTTTAGTTCGCTCTCTCTCTCTTTCTCTCTCAATCCTTTTCCTTTTCCTTTTTAGCTCTCTTTCTCTCCCCCTTTTACTTCTTTAGTTCTGTCTCTCCCTTCTTTATTTCCGTGCCTTCTTTCTTTATTTTTGTCTCTTTTTCCTTTTTTGTCTCTCTCTGTCTCCTTTTACGTCTTTATTTCCCTCTCTTTCTTTTTTCGTCTTTCTCTCTCTCGCTTTTTACGTCTCTGTTTCTCTCTCTCTCTCTCTCTCTCTCTCATCCCCCTTTCCTTCTTTATTACTCTTTCTCTCCTTTTCCTCCCTCCTCCCATATTTTCCTTCTTACTCTCTCGTTCTCCTTGGTATTCTTTATTCTTTTTGCCTCTCTTTCTATTTCTTTTCTCTCCTGATATTTGTCTTGTTTTATATAAAGACTTGAGAAATCATTTTCACAATCCACCTACGCCAACCCTTATCGATTAAACTAACAAGATACATATTACTTACTTAGTAAGTATAGCTGAATACGGTACATGGTCAAATGCAGAAATGACGATGATGCTACGCCATTCTGCTCGGCGTGGAGAGGCCTACTTGCGTTCGAAGGGCTATTTCTTATTTAAGCTTGAATACTGTCCACTTCATCTACGCAAGATTAACGTGGATCATATGTAAGGGTGCTGAAAAGTTCTCCACTCGATTCATTTTATCAAAATCAGTATTTCAATTCCTAAGTATCAATATTTTGGTGAGAAGACTTAAAGAAACGCGTGAAATGACACGTGTGTGTGTGTGTGTGTGTGTGTGTGTGTGTGTGTGTGTGTGTGTTGTTTATATAAAATGAGCTATAAAGGAAGATTGCTCAAACTTTTTTCTTTTATTTTTTAATCGAGTTCACCCCAAGTAAGACAATAAAGCCGCTAAGACACAAGAGGTTACTGGATATGTAATAACTTGGAAAAGAAACATTACTAAGGAGCGAGACCAATAGAAAAGTAATCAGGAAAACAATAGATAGCGATTGACGTTGCATTTACACGCTTTTATTGCTGTGGTGTGGGTGCAAATGCATATCACGTATCTTAGTCAATACCGTATAACTAGTAAGCGAACATTATTATCCTTTTGTACCCCCAGAACCTTAGACCCACAGCACAATGTATAAATATTTAAAATAGCGTATTTACTCTTGTAACGCGCGATCTCACGTATCGTGCGACCCCCAAATTTTCACTTATAAAAAATGATTTTATCTTGTATCCTGTGTGTTCCTTTTTTGAGAGACCAAATTACAATATACTAACCTCTTTTCCTCTTTCTTTTTATCCCATCTTCTAGTTAAATGTTAAAAAGAGAATGATAAAAGTATCGTTAGAAACTCTATACTCGTTGCGTAAACGCGTAAAGCCATAAACAACCGATCGAGAAACAGCTAAGCATCTTATAAACGTAAACAATGGAAAAGATACATATTCGCTATGTTTGTATTTTATAATATGATACGAATATGGGAATATTACATGCATTATTATTGGATACAGTTGCGTAAAACATCAGTTTAATAAAAAAAGAATGTTCATTTTAGCAAACGACTGTACTTTTTGACGACAGTAAATGAATATATAGTTTGGTCAACGGCATAGCCAGGGCCAGCAGTACATATGCTAATTTTATATCTCATGTATGATGCGACCCTCTTAAAATTAGCCTCAAAATTAGGTCTTCAAAAGTCGCATGATACGCAAGTATAAACGGTACTTACGCCTATGGTAAATGATGTTAACATTTCAAGTTACAGATGTTCGACGTTACACCCAGACTGACCACAAAGATTTGCCCTACAGTCTAGCAGCCTTTGCTTGGTTTGCATTTTAAGTTGGCAAATTATATTTATTAAATATCTTAATGTTCTGACGCCATTAAATTTGCCAATACTCATTAAATCAAGTCAAATAAAAAAAATCTCGACTACATTATTAAAATCAAGCCTCTTCAGTAATTAGGTTCACTAATTATTTTGATTAATAATATATCTTCTATGTGCCGTATGATGGCTTTCCACATCTTCCTGTCCTTTGTAGCTCTCAACAAATGTTGACATTTTGCTGTCGCTCCCAAACTCAGCACCATCATCCATTCTTTCAAGCTCACCGGGTAGGTTATGCGTTGCTTTCCTCTGTCCCTCTTGCCTTCAATCTGTCTTGTGAGTATCAAATTTTCCAAGCCCTCTACAATTTCATGTCCTTTATAGCTCTTAATAAAATTTATCTTTTGTTCCACCATCCATTTACTCAAGCTCGCTAGGTAGGTTATGCATTGGTTTCCTCTGTCCCTCTTGCCTTCAATCTGTCCAATGAGTATCAAATTTTCTAAGCCCTCTTTCCTCATTATAAGCCATAGAAGTTTCAACTCTCTTTCTGATGTTAAGTATAAGTTACCTTTTTGTTTCCACTGTCTCTGGAACTTCATCGTTGCTCAGATGTTCAGTCCATGGTATTCTCAGTAACCTTCTGTAGAACCACATTTCTGTTGCTTCAAGTCTCTTCTTCATCTGTGAGGAGATTGTCCATCATTCACTGCCAAAGAGGAATTTACATAAAGGTTCATTACATTATTACATAGCAGTTCATTACTCTTTTCTTTGTTTCTAACGATATTTTTTCTGTTACGTAATACTTTGCTTAGCTTTTGGAAGGCCCCTTTCGCTATTTAAGGGCGCCTTGGGATTTCAGTGTCGCATTTTCCGTCCTGCTGAAATATTTCCCAGATATTCAAATTGTACTTATTTGATTTCGCTGTACCCAATTTGTAATTTGCAAGCTGGGTTGATATGTTCCGTTTACTTACAGCCATGCATTCCGTCTTCTTGCAATTGACATTTAGTCCTTTCTTCTCGCTTTCCTTCACTACGATCCTGGGTGTCATTGATAGAGATCATTCGATAGCAAACCTTTTCACAAACCTGTTCACAGTAGCCTAGTACGATTTTTTGCAGCTTTCTACAGATAAGGAATCGCATTCAACTTTGTAGGCATCGTCCTCAGTGCTCCACTTAACATGCATTTTCACGCTGGCTTATCGTAGTGTTCTATCTTCTTATCTCCCCACCACCCGAGTCTTACCCAGCGATCTGCTGAGATGCACCCCTCCGCAGTTTACTGTAGTTCTTTTTACGCGGCTGTGATTAAATAGGCAAGGCGCAAACTGAGTCCCAATTTCAAACAGGAAACAAGGAATAAGCGTGTACACCTACACAAAAAACCAAGGAGGAGTCTGAAACGGACGATAGGCGAACCTATATACTCCTATTCAGGTAAAAAATAAATAAATAGTTAATAAAATTTCAGAATTTAGGCGGAGACGTCAGAGTTGAAGTAAAAGAAACCGAAAACCCAATCCTAAACAGGCAACAAGGGATAAATCTCTATTCTTGTTTAAAAGACAGGAGAGGCGTGTGAAGCAGACAGTAGGTGACGCTATCTATTTCTAATGATGAAAAAAATAAAAATAAATAGTAAATAAAATTTCATAGTTTAGACGGAGACGTTAAAAATATAGAGTTGAAGTTGACTTTAGAAGGAACCAGAAACCCAATCCTAAACAGGAAACAAGGGATAAACAACGTTCACAATTTATTTATATTTATATATATATATATATATATATATATATATATATGATGGAATCGTATATATGCACCGTACTTGGGGCCACAAGGCGTCTCAACAGACGGCGTGTTTACATCCAACTCCCAGAGCTGCGTCCAAGAGCGCAAACGGCGTGCTGCTTTTTTTTTCTTTTATCTTCGTTACCAAAGTCTGCTATTGCTGTATTCTTTTTCAAGGTGCGATTGATAAATTGTCGTCTAAATTACGCAAGAGGTGAAAATAATATTGATATCTCATTTTAACAGATATATTTACCAAAGTTACACTAAAATATCTTTAAACACTAAATAGTAAATTTATTCAATAAAATCACCATTGGCTTCAACCAAGGCCTCTAGACGATTTCGGAATCTCCAGCAAATCTTCTGGACGGTCTCCTTGCTTAAGTTGGTGAAAGCTGTCATAACATTTGCCATCAGATCATCTTTGGTGTTACAAGGAGTCTTGCTCAACTGCACTCCACAAATAATACTCAAAGGTTTTGCAGTCTGGGGCGTTAGGTGGCCAGATGTAAGGGGTGATGTGGCTGCAGAAATTGTCTGAGAGCCATGATTGGGTACTCTTATTTGTGTGGCATGGCGCAGAATCCATTTACCAAACACAGGATCTTGCAGCAACCACCCTCTTGACTTAGGGCAGCACTACCTCCCCAAGGCACTTGATGTAGGCCTCCGTGTAGAGTCTGGGGACCTCACCAACAAACCCGGGAGTTCTTTTCTAAACGAGTGAGTATTCGAATGTCGTACCTTCGTAATCACCATTAGACTCATCGAACTCTTGTCCTCAGATTGGCACTCAAACAGTCTAGAATTTTCGTATTGGAGCTTCCGATGCGAATACTAAGCAGTACAGCATGCTGTTTCAACATTTATGGCGGTGTGAATTGCATCATGGTGCTCTTTTTCTCACAGATGGCGCCTAACTGACCCTTCTATACATTGCAGTCGACAAAATAAAAATCAACACGCATGCGCGAAATTAAAAAATCGAAATAGCGACAATTTATCTATCGCTCCCTGTACTATTGACTTTACATTTATTTTATTATAGCAATTAACATTGCCTAATTTAGTTAAACAAAGAATACAAGTATTGGAAATCTACTCTGTACAACATGACCTTTCACTGATAGGATGCAGGATGATTTTTGAAGGTCTTTTATAGAAAAGAATGTGAGTAATATATATATATGTAAGTGCGCAGGTATGCAGAAAATAGAAAAGAACACTTTGGGTGCATAATCCGGAGTTCCTTAGTATTTTTGTTTTTATTTTTAAGAAGACAGTGCTTCATACAGAAGTAGAGCTTATATTATAATAATATTTTTTTGTTTAAAAATATGATTCCTTCGCTACATAAATAAAACACAATCCTCCCGACACATAACGACTCGTAGGCGCGCCATAAAAATATCCCTCACTGGGAACCAACTAAAGGATGACCGCCAACATTAGCCTTGAAATAGATACCCTACCCAACCTTAGCAAAACCTCTCAGAAGATGATGAATCTATTGATAAGAATTAACTGTCTGACCACTTAACGAAGAAAACGAGCCTAGCCACTCCCACAATGACGAATGTTATAACGGACCATGCCTAAAAACACACGTAAACCAAGAGATAGCTTATTCCTAAAATTTCGCTTGAAGATGAAACGGGACTAAACACCTCAATTCAACTTAATTTTAATAATTATTTGGATGGTTTCGGCTCTCGTTTTTGAAAACATGAGAACCCTTAT